GGGCTGGATCTTTCTGGATAAGTGTGTTTTCATTTGTTTTATGTTACATAAAAAAATAGATTCAACTGTTATTTATGACATGTACATTACGATAACTGGTACATACCTCATAGTTATCAGAAATTGAGACCAAATATGTAGCTGCTTATCACAAAACCTCCTTTGGAGGATATCAGTGTTGTATTTGAATCCACTTCAAGTCCCCATAAGTCCACCACAAGTCCCTGCAAGTCCATCACAAGTCCATCACAAGCCATTCTGTCTTAAGCCAATTCACAAGCTATTCAAATGAGCTGTGACCAAATTATTCTTTTGTCATTGTTCACCCTGCTACTTGTGTCAGGCCTTGTGAAGGGACTTGTGAAAGGACTTGTGATGGACTCAAATACAATACTAGAGGATATGTGAATAATATTTCAACTATGTTTGCAATGATGCATACTGTGTTCATGTTTTGTTTTAGGCACTACAGTCCACTGATGAGTGCTGGAGCAAGTTTTGTACAGTTTATGGTAAAGAGATTTAGAAGAATAAGTATACAGAACGTGCAAATTCTGGAAGAAAAATTACATGTACAAACTCCCAAGTGGAACTTTATATTTACAAGTTTTGGCTTAATTTATGCACAGTGTTGGATGTCTGAATCATTTAAGTCCACTGTTTATTCAATTTCAAATCCTAATGTCAGAACTATAAGTTTTTTGGATATGGTTACATTTTTCTTGTAAATGATGAGATGATTGTGTTTTCCTCCTTAGAATGCCATGATGACCTTTGAAGATGATAAGATGGATAGTGCCATGGAGTCACTCAAGGAGACAGAGAAGCTTTGTGCAACCAGTGAAGGTTTTATGAAGTCACTGAAGTCAAAGGTCATGCGTCGTAGCAACTCATCCAACAAGCAATTCACACAGCTAAGCTTTGAGGATCGCATCCAGAGGCAGATTATCATGGCAGACTGTCAGCTGTATTCTGCCATGCTGACGTTCTCCCGTAGCGATGTGTCCGGGTTCATCAAAGGTGGCTGGCTGATACGCAAAGGTTACAAGATCTACGAGAAGGTGTACAAGGAGATTACACATATCTACCAGCTACGAGGCAAGGATAGCCCAGTCACGGGAACTCCCCCAACAATGATCGATGAGAACTCTGACGTGGGACCCCCTGAGAATGGTGATGGTGAGGCACATGATGAGGTGGGCTTGGAATCTGTGTCGGATGCGGACTCAGAGATGAGCGACCACTCTGACGTCTCTGATGAGACGCTGGGCCGTTTGTGTGGGGGTGTGGCATTTGGCTACGGACTCCTCCAGCTCTGCATCTCCATGATGCCCCCCAGTCTACTGAAAGTGGTGAATCTGCTGGGTTTCCGTGGCAATAGGGAGTTTGGCCTGAAATGTCTTCAGCTCGCTAGTCACAGCCAGGACATGAAAGCACCGTTAGCCATGTGAGTATTCGTCTCATTTAAGGATTGGTTCTTAGAAATTCTGTAGTTGTTATAACAATATTTTGCTACCACAAACAGGGTGCATTTTTAAAGTCATAACTATGTACATGCATACATTTCGATAGACTAAATTGGCAAATAAAAAAACCCAAACATTTATTTAACTTTTCCATTGTTGTTGTTGATCCCCTATCTTATATTTGGAAGTAACAAAATGTTCCTATTTCCTTTCACTAAACCCACCAACCTTAACACCAGGTTGTCACTGTTGTGGTATCACACCGTTGTCCGTCCTTTCTTCGGTCTGGATGATACCAACACGCAAACCTGCATCCAGGAAGCGCAGTGTATACTCAAGGAGAATGAGGCTGAGTATGCCAAGTCTGCTCTCGTCATGTTCTACCAAGGCAGGGTGGAAAAACTCCAGGTTGTTGATTGAATCAAATGTCATCAGATCTTGAAGCAGCTGTGGTCTTTTCTGTCTGTGCAATTGTAACTGGCACTAGAGTTTAATACTACCCGGTCTTATGCATGTAGCGTGTCTCATAAGTGATCATTGTCATTAATAAAATGTTTAAATTCGTAGTTTCTCCTAGTTTTTGCTGTCATTAAGTACAAAGGTCTTTTGTGAAAAGTAAATAATGCCGGGTTTTTCTTGGTAACTTTATTCCCTCTTGTCTACTTACCCAGAGGAATATCCACAAGGCATTGGAGACCTACAACACGGCCCTGGAGGCAGCTAAGGACCAGCGAGAGATTCAACTTATCTGTGTCTACGAGATTGGCTGGTGTAACCTCATGATGCTGAACATGGAAGAGAGTATGCTTGCATTCGCTAGGTAGGTTGACAGGATGGTCTGTTGAGGGAGTCATGTACATGTATGCTTTTCCAGAGCATTGCTTGTGAAACTGACGAAGATCTCTAAAGTCTTGTCCTTCATTAGATTGCCATGTTTGTGGTTATTGATCTTTGTATCGAGTTCCAATCTTTCTTCATTGGGATTTACCAGAAAGTCTTGTCTCCTGAGTCATGATTTGCTGCATTGAAAGGCAGCCCCATTCATTTACAGTTGAGAATCCCCCAACTTTCTCAAGAATTGAGTTAACTTACCATGGCCATGGGTCACAAACTTTAGGTCAAGACATTGCAACTCTCATTAATACTGACCCAACTATGTTTCTAGATAGTAGCGCAGAATTACTGGTTTCATGTTTCTCTGATTGGACTAACTTTTGATCTTGCTTCTTTCAATGACAGGATGAAAGAAGATTCTAAGTGGTCCAAGTGTTACTATTCGTACTTGACAGCAGGTAGATTTATTTTCCAAGACATTTCACTTTTCAGTAAAAGACCAACAGGCAGTGTCACAAAGTTTGCTCTTGTAAACTGGCAAGACTGTTACTGAGAGAACTTGTATGTTTGCATATGTACGACACACACTCCCAAGTTTTTCCAGAAAGAACTTCGTTGCGGCAAGAAATTTCATTGAAATAACTCTCTGTTTCAGTCTACAAGTTGTTGTCGTGTTTGTTGTGTTGTCAGTATGTCAGGGGGCATTGGGGCAAGTTGAGACAGCCCAAGAGCTTTTCAGGGAGGTACCTGTCTTAGCAAAGAAGAAAAGCAGCCATCAGCAGATTGAAGCCTTCCTCGTCAGAAAGGTTGGAATTAGGATTTTGGTCATATTTTGTCAAACTTCCATTCTTGCCTTTCCTTCTTATTAACCCTGACCCTGCTAAATGCACCAGAGGTAGAAAGTTGTTGCAAGTTGGTGCATTGAACAGGCAACGCAAGTCTTCTGGTGGTATGCATTCTGGTGCATGTAGCAGGCTTGGTGTTTACGCCCTAGCAACTAGTGCACCAGAATGCGCTGGTGCAATCTGGTGCATTTAGCAGGGTTGTTAGAGGTACCGAGAGTGACATAAATTAGTTAACTGCACAATGCACCAATATGCACCAGTGCATTCTGGTGCATTTAGCAGGCTTGGTGTTTACGCCCTAGCAACTAGTGCACCAGAATGCACTGGTGCAATCCGGTGCATTTAGCAGGGTAGCTAGTGGTACCGCGAGTGACATAAATTAGTTCACTGCACAATGCACCAATATGTACCAGTGCATACTGGTGCATT